ACAAAAGAAGGAGGAGAGATGGATGGATGGAGGGAGAGAGATAAACGAGAGCAATGGGAGGGAGGATGAAAACAATCTTGACCAACTTAAGGGCAGTAAAAAGCTTGTCTGCTGGCCGGGGGCCTAAAGCACATTAGCTGCACAGGGAAAAGCCTTTTGGATGCTAGCCTAAAGACTTACCAGTGATAAGAGAGGAGAGGCGGGAGAGTCACATATGCCCCCTGCTAATTTAGCTCACCTAGAAACCCAGGGCAGTCTGCCTCGCCTGGCAATCGGCTTGGAGTGTTTGGCGCAGGCTTATGCAACGTCCAGTGGAAGTGTGTAGAGAGTTACGGGCTAAGTTCATAATGGAGGTAATCCAGGCTACACGCAGCCCAGTGGCCTGAGCTTATTTATGTATCCTGGTTGGTGAAAGTGGTGCTTCTTGGGATTTGTAATTCGGTCTCAACGGGAGCCGGCCAAGATGTGTCCCGTCACGACACGCTGTGATCTACCTCATTCATTTAGGTTTTACACCGACATGTCGCGTTGAAGATTGGGGAAACTGGATTCGAACCCCACAGCACCCTAACACAAATGTATCAAGCAAGTCGGTGGTCAGCGTTGACGTCGCAGGAAAATATATATCTGATTTTAACAATACACGGCAAATGTGTTGTTTTCCAGTAAAATCACATGCCTCCAAGTATGGTACCAAATAGAGTAAAGCTACAGTCGATTCTCGCGATGTTACGAGATAACGCGAGAGATGCTGCATCACATATCGCACCAAAATCTTGTCAGGCTTCTAGTAATGCGTTTGTGACCGGTAAGCTAGAGCGTGGACCAATCGGCCTCCTGTGAGGAGCTACTGGCAGCTACCAGGCAGCTTCGGGCGGGGTTTTAGGTGTGTGTGAGACGACACAGAGAGGCGACCGTTTTTGTTTAAAACGTTTTGAGTAAAGAGACAGATCAAGCAAATATGACAAGAAGTTATTTTTATTCCAGGTACCAACTGTTCTTTTGTCTCCTTCACCTACCATGGCCTCTCTTGTTGCGTAAACATTTAAACATCAATACGATTTGATGAATTTGCCATCCCTACTCCAAAGGTGATCTATAAACAATGACACTGTAACAACTGCTCTGAAGTCTGCTGCTCCTGAAGCAACATGAATCATTGGGGACAAGATTCATGTTCTCTCCACTTTCATTTTTCTATGTGACAAAGGTTTGTTTCTTTATTGTTTTGGACATTTATTTTATTGAAGACCTTTAGTAAAGCTCTTTTTAGGTAGGTGACGAGTAGATGACACCGTCCCGTAGAGTAGAGCATGGTGCTCACGCGCTAGCTCTGTTTTAAACTGAACCGATAAAAGTCACAATGAATTAGACACTCTGGCACTGTGCAGATGACAACACATACAAGAGACTGTAGTTGCACATGTTAAAATGTGGTGCACTCTGTCCTCTCTGCAGGTGCACCTCGGTGGAGGAATCTGGGTGGAGGAGGAGAAGTGGCACCAGCTGCAGCGGACCCAGGGAGACTCCAAGTTCACAAAGAACCTAGCTGTAATGATCTGGGGCACAGAAACCCTCAAGAACCGCAGCGTCACTGGAGTGGCCACCAAAAAGAAGAAAGACGCGTTGCCCAAACCTCCGCTGTCGCCCAGCAAACTGAAAATTGTCAGAGGTAAGATAACTTAAAGTTGTTTAATCAAGACTGTGACAGAGTGAAGATTTTCTTTCATCATTGAATTATATTCATTAGAATCTAGACAAAGATAAGATCAGCCATTTTGAATCTGATGTAGTCTGACTGCTCACACTGGCTCCTTCCGCAGAGTGTCTCTACGACAGAGTGTCTCAAGAGACAGCCGACAGTGCGGAGATTACGCAGAGATTGTCCAAAGTGAACAAATACATTTGTGAAAAGATAATGGACATCAACAAGTCCATCAAGAACGAGGAGCGGCGGGAATCCAAGTTGCTCATCAGACAGACAGTGAAGATGGAGAACTTCACCTACGATGGCATGTAGTAATCAACTGTTGTCACGCCAGCGCCTTCTGACCCCCCTCCCCTCCCCTCCCCTCCCCATGGTCGGCAGGTTATTGAGGGGACTAGATATGGGTGGTTGGGGGATGTTTGTCACTGTTTCAAGAGATTCTTTGACACATTGGATTGGTTAAACAAATAGACCCCCTCCCAGCTCCCTGCAGAGCTACCGTCACCTTCCTCAGTGCCCAGTTCTCCCATTGGCTGACAGACAGCTTTACCCACCGGTGAGAAATTGTGAACAAGTGTGAACTAGTTTGATATGAGCTGGTATGAGTGTTTTTATAAGCTTTACAGTGGAACATGGTTTACTGACGTGTGTGCATTTGTGTCAAAGAAAGGATATGATGTAATTGTGAAGAAATTGATTTATTGTTCTGTGTCAGAACATAGTTTTGAGTCCTTAAACTTTTAAAAAGTAAGAGGTTATTTCCCTAGATAAAGTATAGTATAAAGATAATGATGCTAGCTCGCATTAGATCTTAGATGTGTGAACAACAGCTCTGGTACTTACTGCATAAGATGAGACGGCAAGGTCTCAAATGCACAAGTCTTGATTGGTGATAGCCATATTGCATTTTGCAGCAGAGATTCTGTTGCTTCGAGAGATTAGTTAGAAGTGTGTGCGCGCCCTTAACGTAAGGTCAATCTCAACTGTTTCATTAAAAAGACCAAAGCTAACAGAGGTGAAATGGGAAGTAATGGGAACTCTAATGTAGAGGCGATAGAGTGCTATTTTTGTTTTTTTATGTTGACCTTTCAGTTGTGAGCGTTTGTGTTGCTCTTAATCAAACAAGTCACTTTCGGACAATTTGACTGTTTTAATGCGTTTTTAGTGGTACAGGCATGTAGATGCCTAGAAAGGCCTTAAATGGATTTGGCAATCACCAGGAGATGGTATGCCCCTGGGTTTTTCTAGTAAGCTGTGATTGTATATGTATAGTAAGCAGAAGCGATGACGCTTCACCTGCACTTTGCTGCGAGAATGTGAGAGGTGGCTTGGTACTATATGTTCTGCGTGATTCACACCCATTGAGTTGATCTGAGCCGGGCTACTTCCTGCCCTCCGTCTTGTAGTTAAGAGACGCCGCGCTGCGCCAGACAATGCGAGGAAGAGAATCGGGGCACAGTCTCTGCACGGTCGAGGTGATCTTGCATGTGGAAGCAGTGTTAGCTGTGGGTAAAGCTGTCTGAAACACTATTGTGCTGTTTGAAGTCATCCGGGCCTGCTGAACCCCATAATAAACCCCGCTTTTTTTTTTTTTAAGCCACGCCACTGGGGAACAAAGTAAGGTCGCTCCAGTGACAGTTTCCTCTGAGCTATGCCATCAGAACTTTGAAAATGTCCTCTTTTTCTTGTGTTTTTTTTGTTTTTGTTTTCTCTTCCGTTGTTTTATTGTTTTGATCCAAAATGGTTTGTGTGGCTGTCTGCAGGCTGGAACTAAATGCTGCAGATTGAAATCTCAACTGTGACCTAGCTGTGGCTAACTGTGAATCTGCTGCAGAACTGCCCATCAAGCCTCTCTCCTCTTCATACTCTAGATTCTCGTTTATCGGTTGGTTTATTTCTGTCTGTATCATTTTGTCTGTCTTGTTTTTTTTGTTATTTCGAAAAGTTCAGATCAGCCTTTTGTTAAGCTACTTTATGTTCTGGAGATATTTTAGTGTACATAAAACATCCTTTTTTTATTTTTTCAACCAAACAGTTTCTCGTCAGTTTTAAAGGGTCTGATCAAGTTTTGGTTCATCTAATTGATGTTGTAATTCCATGTCACCTGACAATTTCTTGTTTCTTTTTACACTTACATGTTTGTCATATGAACTGTTGGCTTTAAGCTTGATGTTGTATCCAAATGTAGATCAATACAATCTACTAACAAATGAAAGAATATCTCCCTTTAGCCAAAGTGAGACTAGGCTTCCCTTAATACATCCAGCTACATTCACAACATTCGCTATTTAACGAGCCTCACTTAGGATCTACATTCTAGTGATCTACCGCAGTAAGATGATCATTTGCATCGTTAAAAACATTGTGCTCAATTGAGATGCAGTAGTTAGATCAACAAAAAACATTTACATTGAATGCACTTTAAACTTCTGGGCAATTTCTTCGATCTTAAAGAAATGTATGTGGTATTTGTCCTTTTTTTTTAATGTCTATATAGATAAAAGTTAACAATCATTGTATTATCATGAAGCACCTTAGAACATTTGGGTTTATTGTTTTCTATGGCAAGAATGAGTTCTCGGACATCATTTATGTCAGATATGCCCCTGACATACCAATGTTTCAAAACGAGCTTAATAGATTTAATACCCCCAACTACTACTCAGAGGTAGTACTACTAATACTTATAGAGTATTTGATTTAGTCGAGGTGTGTTTCACAAGTTACACGATGGTGAAATGGCCCAAAACATGATTCTTCGATCTAAAGATATTTACCTATGAAATGTGCAAACTGACTGGAATATGTGCTTTAACTTAATGTGTGAAGATGCTGGTTGTGCATAGAAATGACTTGTATAGAGATAATTGTGTATTTTTTACAAAAGAATGGTAATTGTAAGCCAAAGTATTGAATGCTGAGATCAAGCTGAAGAAGGGGGATGCTGACTGAGGAATCAGCGAGGTTTGCACAAAAGATGGCCCATGCCAAGGTAATAGAGCCGAGTGAATCTTAAGACGCCAATATGGTGACATATTATTATTTTATATTTTTTGGTTCCTAAAAAACTTCCTTTTTCAGTTTGTTTATCCCTGTACAAAGCAACATGTGAGGTGTTTGTGTGCTAGCATGTATTTAAAATACATGCGGTTTAAAAGAGAGAAAATATTTCTGCTGTGCAAAGCAACCATGCTGAAATTCTGACACTTTGTCGTGTTTGTGTTTGTTTCTTTGTTGTTTGATGCCAAAAGGGGGTGTGGTTAAATAATGCTTTAAGATGGAGCATTAATAGAGTTATTACATCATCTGAAACTTCTTTTCAAATGCTGGTTTCCTGGAGCGCGATTAAGCCTAATCCTTTAACTAAAACCATCTTTGGTGGATGAAAGCTGTATGGAAGAACTGTATGTTTTGAACCCAGATTTGGCTTAATCTGTAATGGAAAGGCCAATCTCTCGACTATGTACCAAGTCACTCGCAGAAGAGCAGTTTGGGCTTTTGCAGCATATTAGTAACATACACCAGGACATAACCTGTCAGAGCCATCAGTGGATGATAACGGCTAGTTTTGTGACATAACACCAGACCTTCCAGTACTCTTGTCACTCTTAAGTAGTGCCGGGGAGGAAATGTAACCTCGCCGGCTCTGTGATCCTCTACCTGTGCCACCTCTAGTTTCTTACTCTCCTGTTGTTTCTATGGACTGGATTTAAAGATGCACATCTGTCGAGATAATAGTAAATCCTGTCCTCGTGGCTCGGTGTTTTGGCTTACATTGTGAACACCTGTCAAAGCGTCAGAAGTCTGGGAGCTTTATGTTGCTTTTTGACAGTTTGAATCGGGGGAAAGCGATCAGTTCTAACTTCACCGTGTTGGAACAAGATAAATGGCTCCATCTAGCAGTTCTCACAACTAAGTGTTCACAAAACATATTACGGTTTGAGCCTCAGATACAATGTCAAACTTATTTCAGATGAGAAAAAAAAATGGGAAGAACACATTGTTGGGCCTATATTTTTCTTAAGGTATCAGTAACTTTGTATACAATCCACAAACCGGTTCTACTTCATCTGACTTCACCGTCCTACCTCATTGTTACTCTGGTGTTTGTTTGTCAGTGACTGTAAACTATGTGTGTATATTAAAAAAAAAACTAAAAATCTATAGGAAAAGGTATACCTGGTTACTCTCAACATGTACAGCATATAACACTTGTAAAACACCTCAGTACACAATATCATTCTTAGGAGAAATCAGTTCTATTGCCTGCTTAAACATGCTGCTGCAAAGGGGCATCTGCGTGAGGGGTCGTCTCTGAATATATATCTTCGCTCTTTGCTATGTCGTGCAGTTGGTCAGTGGTTGTGTTGCGTCTCTGTATTGCATTCTGAGATTTGTACTGGTTGATGGTGCTACCAGCAAACAGTTCAAGAACTGATCTGTCTATCGGACCTCAAATGGTGCTGTTTTTCTATGTTTTTATCCTCATACAGCTATGTTTTATTCAGGTGTGTCAACCGCTACTATTCCCTCAGCTAATCAAATTTTAAGCCAAAATGTTTCAACAAACCGATAACTCCTGCTATTACTGTATCAACTATATGCTATCCATCCAAATATTGTAGATAGTGATTATATCCTCAGCTGTGAGCTTCACAAGTACCTCAGAACTTGCTGATTTTCAATGGATGCATCTGCTTCTACCACCTGTTGTCTACCAATATTACATTGTTGCAGTGTATTTTCAGAAATATGTATTTTTACTGGTTAGATCAGGTTTCACTAAACATCGGACATGATTACTAGATCACACTCGGATGATCGATAAATTTAAAGGATTCCACTGTTCACTGGTTGCCAGACTCATAACAGAAAATGGCCTGGACTGAGCAGCATATTACGGTGGAAGAGGTCCTCAGCAAAACCATCTTCTGTGTGAGTCGATGTTTTATTTTACAGAAGCCAGATTCCATTGGAAGTTGTATTTATGGTGGAAAAATAAGCTCCATTAGAAGTCATTTTGGTAATAAACTATCGCCCTGTCTGGTTTCAAATGAAATGTGTCACACACAAAAAAATGAGACGGACAATCTTCATGGACAGTTTTGGAATAATTGATTTTATCGAGTTACCACTTTAATCTTCCCCAGTTGTATCTCTTTGTCACTAACTGATATTTAATCAATTCAAATGTAATTTCTGTTGTTTAAAAAAAGGAAATTAGTGTAACATTTTATGATTGACTTACGATGAGCCAAAGTCACATAAAGCACTGTTAAGTTTGCATAATCATACAAAAAGGGCATTATATTGTCTTTTACCCCGTACAGTGACACCAATGGAATCTTTTCTGCGCCACAGTGTTGTTCTGGGGTAGTTTGCTCTACCTGTGGGTATGTAAATGTCTTGTTTGTTTAGTTGTTTTTCTTACTCTCACCACGTCTGTAAACATGTAATGTGCTGGGGAACTCCTCTCTACTGTGATGTTCAAACACACAGCAGTTGGTTTTAATGGAAGCTCTTAAGCCATTTATTGGACTGTTTCACAACGGTTCAATTTTTTAGCTTTGCTCTGGTCCAGGGAGTTTTGTGTGTAGTTGAATTCCTATGCAGAGTTGTAATCACCTGGTACCACATCACTGTTGGGTGGAGGGCCAACCAGGGAGAGAGATAAGAGGAGAGTGTTCAAACCTTTGAATGTGTCAGCACAGCCTTGAGACTGAATGAATCAAAGGGGACAATGGCGACATGACAAATCCGTACTGAACTATTCCTACATCTTCATACTCATGGAGTTGAATTAAACTGAGCTATACAGGGCTGCTTGGGTACATACCTGTCTGTAGTTGTAACTGCATTGCAATGATCATTGGGGAAAGACAGGGTTATTACTGTATGGAGTTTTTTTCCAGATGGTGTGATAATGTGAAAAGAATTTCAAGACTATTGCAGTAAACACTCCCTCACCCTACTTCAGCCTCCCAAGAGGCAACCCTACATTTACAGAAAATGTTCTAAGTATATGCGATAGAGAGTGTACATGTCTTTGCTAAACCGGCCACACCTCTGCTATGCGAGCAAATCTTTGACGCTTAGCATCCTGTTCTGTGTTTTCTCTTTGCTGCATTCAGGAACACCTGTTTAATGTATAGATAAACAGAAATAAATCGAGACTTTTATTCTATCAGCACAAACCTCTTGTTGTCTTTTTTGTCTTTTCCTGCCTCGTGATCTTTTCTCCAAGAAACAAACTATACTGTTCAAGATGAGTCTCGTGTTGGAAACTTAAGGCTCAAGTTAACACCACACTAAACCTTTCTGTTTCTTCATTTGTCATAACTTTTCAATGTGGAAAATACTGAATGTATTCAGCACTGACTGATTAGCCGTCTTACCGGGAGCAATATGTGGAAGCTGTAACTTCCTGGGGGCTGGTCTGGCTGTTTTTCCATGTCTTTGTGCTAAGCTAGGCTAACTGGCTACCGAATCTAGCTCAACATCAAACGGAGAGCTCTCCATCTTCTCATATAACTCTCTGCAAGACGGCAAATACGGTGTTTCTCAAAATGTCAAACTATTGACTATTTTCACCGCCTACATCAAAGGAATTTCAGAACAAACCGAGGCAGACGGAAATTTTCTCATCAAATTTTCTGCCGCCTTTGTTCACAAATCTGTGTGGCCTTGCTCTACATTTCCTGGAGTTACAGGGGGCTCTGAGTAGTAACTTCATTTCCACTCATTGTATTTTCACCTCAATCTGTATTTTTTTAAATCACCAAATCGGTGTTAAATCTGGTCAATAGCTTGGAGCACAAAATCTACCTCGAGCCTTTAAAGTGTTATTTTTTTACACTGGAATACCACTTAACTAATGTCAAAAGAGTTTTTATTTTCAAATTGATGGCCATGTGTGTCAGAAACCCTTAATGACCCTGAGGCTAATGCAAGTTTCTCAGCACACAGCTTCCCGGTTAACTTTTAAATGCAAAGATTAAAATTAAGTTTGAGTTTGCCGTACAATGGTAAAACAATTTACTGTTTTTACACATTTCGCCCTGGAGTCTGACACCGTGTGAAGACACATTTGCAGACAGACTGAGGCCGATGAGCTCTGGTGTTATTCCTCTCGACAACTCATCCCTCAGTGTAGCTGTGTTAGCCACTTCTGACACCAGCTTTCCATTCTAGGCTCTGTAGTTAACCCCCC